GCGGGCCGGGCCGGTGGGACGGGCTGCGAGGAGGGGCGGGGCCCGGATGCGGGGCGGGGCTCGGATGCGGGGAGGGGCGGAGCCCCGAGGCGGTGGGGGACGCAGGCCGCTGTGCTCACCGTGCTCGATCTCGCCCTCGCGCTCCGCCAGCTGCTCGAAGTCGCGGATGATGGCGCGGGCCGCCAGCTGGTGGAAGGTCTCGTTCCACAGATCGGCGTCGCGTGCGCCGCCGCGCTCGGGGCCGGGGGTGCCCAGCTCGAAACTCACCTCCCACTGGAAACTCTGGCTGTCGCGCAGGCCCTTGACAACGGCCCTGCCCAACACGGAGCGTGGGGTAGCGGGCCTGTCGGGACTGACCCGCTCCTCCGACTCACCCAGGGGCTCCCAGTCTGAGGACGTCTCGGTCTCGAAGGCTGAGGAGTGATGAGACGGCTCTGCAGGCAGAGGGACAAAAGGGCGGTGCCCTGAGCCGGAGGACAGAGGGCCAACCCCCAGGGGCCATCGTCCCTCAGGATAGACTCCCCTCACCCCCAGCAAGTACAGTGCCTCCCACCCCAAACACACAGCTCCTTCCCTAGGACAGCTGCGGTGGCATGGGCTTGTCCAAGAGTGGGGCAGACCTGAGGGAGCGAGATAGGGTGGCGTCAGGACCCTTGGGTGCAGAATGCAGCTGCAGGGAGGATTATCTGGGAGCCTCACAGGCAGCCCAAGGGCCAGGTTGATTGGGAAAGAGGGGTCGGTGAGGTCCTCAGGGACGGCTGGACTACAGCAGACCTACCCTCTCCGCCAAGGGCACAGAGGCAGGCATCTGCCCTCTGAGCTGTCATCTGAAGCTAGGCCACAGCCAGGGGTTCCTCCCTCTCCCCAGTCAGATCCTGGACCCTATTGACACTTACCCAGGTCCCCAGGGCTGCGTTTGTCTGAGGAAGGCTTCAGGCTGGACCCAAAATCCAGCTCTCTCATGGGGTTCCAGGCCTGGGACTCCCGGCAGGAAGGCAGGGCTGGCTGGCAGCCTTGGGGCAGCAGAGAGGGCCTGCGGGCTCCTGGGCCCCGGAGTTTAAGGCCCTGGCTCAGGTCTGGGCCACTGTTCAGCAAGGGCTAGGAGTACAAGAGGAAGAGGAGGAGGTTGAGTTCCTGGTGACTGGACCCTCCCTGCACCCCCAGCCCCAGCTCTGCCTGGGCACTTTGGCTCCTCCTGGGAGACTGACTGCCCAGCAGCACCCAAGGGCAAATTACGTGCTTCCTACTAACCATGAGAAACAGCAACGTGAATAAATAAGCCCGAAGTATGGATGAAGTCCAAACCATTGGAAAACCATGGAAAATGACGCACCATGGATAGTATTCTAAACCCACTTATTTTTTTTTACCATAAAGCTCAAAACTGTGCATTTAAAATTATCTTTTTATATGTCATGCTTAAAAGGTCTTTCCCACTCAAAAACATTACAGAATTTCTGTGATTTTATTTTTGTTGGTTTGTTTAAATCTTTGATTCATATGAAATTTATTTTGGTGTAAAGAAATAGGAACCAGCCTTTTCCTTGATTTTCTGAATAGTACAAATCTCAACACTGTTTACTGAGTACAGTTCATTCATTGAGTCCCTAGGGTTTATCAATTCCCCACCTCTATCCTGACAAAGCTGTCAAGTTATTTGGCTTTATTTCTGGACTTTTGTTCTGTTTTGTGTATTTAATCTGTTTATTCTTGTGCTGGTACAAAAAGTGTGAAAAGGCAAGGGATAAACTGGGGAATATATTTGCAACATGCATGACAGAAAACATTTTCAAGAAAATGCTCTGATAAAGCATGGGAGAATAAACTCAGAAAAATGGGTTGAGAACATCTACAGAAGTTCTTAGAAAAAGTATCCAAAAAATTCATGAAAAAATGCTCAGCCTCACAAGCATTGCTCAAAATTCAGTTATGATTTTTTTCCCCATCTTCCAGGTTGGCAAATATTTAAATGATGGCATCCATTGCAGTCAATGGAGAGATAGGTTCTCTCTCATGGAATGTTGGTGGGAGAGCAATTTAGCAATGTGCTATCAACATTAAAAATGCATAAGCTTCTCCAGAGAAGAAGTTCAGATGGCCCACAAGCACATGAAAAGATGCTCCACATCGTTAATCATCAGGGAAATACAAATTAAAACCACAATGAGAGATCACCTCATACCGGTTAGAATGGCCACTATCCAAAAGACAAGAAACAACAAATGCTGAAGAGGATGCGGAGAAAGGGGAACCTCCTATAGTCTTGGTGGGAATGTAAATTGGTTCAACCACTGCGGAAAGCAATATGGAGGTTTCTCAAAAAACTAAAAGTAAGAATACTGTTTGACCCAGTAATTCCACTCCTAGGAATTTACCCAAAGAAAACAAGATCTATGATTTGAAAAGACATACACACCGCTATGTTTATTGCTGCACTATTTACAATAGCCAAGATATGAAGCAACCAAAATATCCATCAATAGATAAATGGATAAAGAAGATGTGGTACATATACACAATGGAATATTATTCAGCCATGAAAAGAAAAATCCTGCCATTTCCAATAACATGGATGGAGCTGGAGGGCATTATGCTCAATGAAATAAGTCAGGTGGATAAAGACAAATACCAAATTATTTCATTCATTTGTAGAGTATAAAGACAAAGCAAAACAAGGAATAAAAAAAACAGTGGACTCACAGACACCCAAGCGACTAGTGGTTACCAAGGGGAGGGGTTGGGCAGGGTGGGTGGGGAGGGAGAAGGGGATTAAGGGGCACTATAATCCGCAGTCACAATATAGGTCTAGGTCACAGGGACAGTTGTACAGCATGGAGAATACAATTAATGACTCTATAACATCTTACTACATTAACAGACAGTGACCCCAACAGAGGGGGAGAGGACTTGATAATATGGGTGGATGTTGAACCACTGTGTTATGTATGCGAAACCATCATATGTATATCAATGACATCTTAATAAAAAAAATGCACAAGCTCCTTTGACACAGCAATTCCACTTTTAGGAATCCTGTGGAAGTATGCAAGGATGTAAATAATATTTGCTGCAATATTATTTGTAAAAGTACAAATCTGGAAACCAAATGTCCATCAGTAGGGTTGGCAAATAAGTTACAGTACAGCCGTGCAGTGGGACACCACACAATGCTGAAATGAAAGAGGCAGATGGCTCCATACCAATGTGGGAAGATGGCCAAGATAAAACTAAAAACGTGATTTGCAACTGTTCTGTATTTTGATTGGGGTGGTAGTTACATGACTATATGCATTTGTCAAAACTCGGAACTGTTCACCAAAAAGAGAAATTTTACTGTATATAAAAAGGACTATATTTAAAATTTTTTACTGTATTAAAAAGACTTTAAAAAAGTAAATCAGACATTAGTTTGCATATGCGATATTTCAAAACATGTGTATTGCATGTATATGCATGTGTGCAGGAAGTTTTTCTGGAAGGAAATACTTAAAAACAAGTGGCTCTGGGCACAGGAGAGGGATGCTATGATTACTTCATACCTGACTTGAGTTTGAAGGTTTTTATTGCAAACCCTGAGTTATGTATTAATTTTGTAATTAAAGAATATTAAATTAGTTAAAAATGAATTTTGTGCCTCTGGGAACACATACATGGCTTGTAGGGAGAGGGGGTGGGGAAGCCAAGGCACTTCCTGGGTGTAACAGAGAGAAAAACTGCCTCTCAGTCTTTTTAGGTAAAGTTAATCATGGGGTCTTTTTCATCCCTATCAACTGTTTGTTGGGAAGAGGACTGTGATTCCCCATTAGAAGCAGGCTCCTTGGGACAGGGGTTGGGGTTCTCCTTCCTGTCTCCTCTGGACCTGAGGTCCCGGAGATGGTACAAGGGTGTGGAAGAAGAAAGAGATTGGTCACTCTCAATAAGACCTCAGTGAAAGCTGGTACCCATCCAGGGCTTCTGCATCCTGAGGGAGGCCTTTCTCCCTCCCCCATCAGAGACTGGAATTCCCTTCCCTCCTCCCCCACCATCACCACCGCACTGAGAAACAGAAGCTGGCAGTTGCCATGGCAACCGATTAGTCTAAGATTCAGCCCCTCACCCAGCCAGAGGCTGCAGGGAGCGTGTACATGTGTGAGGGCACATGTGTGTACATTTGCACAAGTGTGTTGGGGAGTATCCAACTGATGGGGAAGCCAAGCAGAGGATGGGGAGAAAGAAGCAAGACGGGCCAGAAGCAAGCGAGAGAGAAGGAGGCCAAGCTGCCCAGAGGTCTCACCAACAGAGCTGCGCTTAAGGAACACCTACCGTGCGCCAGGGGCTGTACCAGGCACTTCCTGTCTTACTGGCTGATGCCTGCCAGAGTCCTCCACTTACAATGGGCTCCCAATAAACATCTGTTGATGGATGTTAACTCATCTGCATAAGCTATTCTCCCCATTTCACCCATGAAGAAATTGGCACTCAGGCTATTAAGCCACGTGTTTGAGGAGTAGAGTCAAGTCACTGATTCCAAGATCAGTGTCTTCCATCTGCATGGAGGAGCCCTGGCTAAACACAGAGGAGGGCTTTCAGGGAAAAGGTGACAGTGTCTCTGCCCTTCGGGAGTGTATGTGCAGGCGGGGAGAGATGGAGGAGGTGGGTAGGACTGAGAGAGTGAAAAGCTGCTTTCGTGGGACTACAGACTCACAATGACAAAGCCACATAAAAAGCCCATTTGTAAGAAAATGGGATTAGGCCTGCAGATAATACCAACACCAATTTGGTTTAGGACAGTGTTTCTCAACCTGGTCATTTTGCCCCCCATTTCGCAGGGGACATCTGGCAGTGTCTGCAGACATTTTTGATTGTTATGACTGGAGGTGGTGGTGGTACTGGTATCCAGTGAATAGAGGCCAGAGATGCTTCCAAACATTCTACAATGTACAGGACAGGACAGCCAACAAATAATTATCATGTTAATGGTGCTGAGGCTGAGAAACCCTCGTCTAACTGGACAGTGCAGGGCTGGTCCTCCCGTAGCTGTAACTCTGAGATGATCTCTGCCCCAGGTGAGTGTACAACCCTTGCGATTTGCAGAAGGTGCAGTGTGATGGAGGGGTGAAGCAAAGGCTTTGCAGGCAGAGGGTCCTGGGTTGTAAACTCCTGGCTGGCTGTGTGATGCTGGATAAGTCACTTTACCTCTCTGCCCCTCAATTTCCACATCTGTACAGAGTGGGGGCAGCCAGCCTGAACACTTCTTTTTCCCAGGGATGCTATAAAATCAAATGAGAGTGTAGATGGGGAAGCTCCTTGCCAACTGGGAAGTGCCGTGTGCAGACAAATGGGTGATGTCATTGACCAATGGGTATCATTATCATGAAGGTTCTAATATTATTGGGGGTCAGGCAGATGACCGTCCAGAAAAAGGAGGAAGAAGTCACTCACTTCACAGTGTAAGTTGTGGACAGGCCCCATCCTTGTGGCTGAAGCGGGAGACCCAGCTCTTCCCCACCCATGGCTTCCCCCAACTCCAACATGCCCTGTTTGAGTACCTGCAAATCAATCTGCCACTGCAGGGCATCTGGGCTGGACTGGTTGGTAAGGTCTTGCAGCTTAGCTTTCCTCAGTGGGTGTTTCCTGGCAGCCACTGTGGGGTCACTGGCTGTGGGGGTCCTTGGGGAGGGCTTGCGGGCGGTGATCTGGTTGGCGCTATATGCCCGCCGTCGCTGGGAGTGGTCCAGATCTGGGCAGGGGTGTTGATAGGGAAGCCATCAGGATGGAGGACAGTGAGGGAAAGAGAAACTTCTTGAGTTTTCCCCTGCTTGCTTACTGAAATTTAACCGGCTGCCTCACCTCACTTGGCATTCAAAGCCTTGCCTAATCTGACCCTAATCTCTCTACCCAGCTTCTCTCTTTTCTGTTCCTTTTTCAAGGTACTGTGTGCTCCAAACTTACTAGATGAGTAACCAATTATGTATGCGTTTTCTAAATGCCACATCTCCACATCTTTGCTCCGTCAGTTTCCGCTGTCTGAAATCTCCTCTCTCCCCACTTCCAAGAACCAATGCCCTCATTATACCTTTGTTGATATTCTCTACCAGATGTGCCTTTCCCTGGGACCCCCCCAGTTTGTTAAGCTTCCTGTGGCCCCTGTCCCTGCTTTCTATCAGAGTTAAGGCCAATTATATTCCACTTTGCACTCAGTTATTAGCCTTAGTAGGTGATCAGTTAAATACCCTCTGAGTGGAAATGAACACCATAAAGAAGGTGTTTGGAGACAGACAGATCTAGACCCTTTATCTATACTCTTATCTCTTTCAAGTTCCATGACCTTAGCCACTTTGCTTAAATTCTCCAAGACTTAGTTTTGTCATCTGTATAATAGGTATAATAGTACCTACCTCTACAGCTGCCCTATTCAGTAAGATTGTTTGTATAAAGTGCTTAGCACATAGTAAGTGCTTAGTAAAATGTAGAAATAATGGCCTCCCTAGAGAAGGGAGTGAAGTACAAAGAGCAGCAGACTAACTAGGATTGGTGGTGGAGTCTTCGCCAGATGGCTGGGCGTCTTTGGCCTGCCTCAGGGTGAAGGGTGCACCCAAACTCCTGGCACAGTCTCTGCTGTCTGGGCTGGTCCCCTCATCTTGTGCATGGTAGAAGACAGAGCTGCCAGACTCCTGACGGGAGGGAGAGAAAAGAGGGCTGAGAATGAAGCTAGATGTCAGGGAGGTCATCTACAGGTCATGAAGGGATGTGAGAGTAGGTGGTGGAGGTTCCAGCTCCTTATTATTTTTCCAGAATAATGGGAAAGATTTTTGCTTGCTTGGGAAACTTAGGCAGACTTCTGTTTAAGAGATGGTGAATGGAATTGACTTTTCATATCACTTCTATTGTTTATATTTTTAATTGTCATCTTTATTAAAAATTTTTAAAGTATTTCTAAATGACACTGCTGTCTCCAAAATTTAGGTAACCAAAATTAACAAAATGAACCATCTGTTTCTTCCATTCCATTCTCCATGATACAACATATATATATATACACATATAGATAAATAGTATATTATATAACTCAAAACATATATAGAATGACCAAAAAAACCCTTATGTTTTATTTATTGAAATCAATTTTGGGAGTCACTTTTGTTTTCCAGAAACTGGACCATATTACTTACATTTATTGTATCTAGAAATTTTGCACTTAAACATTTTGGAAATCCTGCATCTCAACTATTCTTTTTAATATTTACACAATATTCTGCCAGCCCTTATTGTTTAGCATTCACCTTGTGGCCATTTATTTTTGCCTCCATAAAAAAAATGCTACAATACATCCTTGGACATAAATCCATTTCTGTTAGATTCTTAGGAGGGATTTCTGGGTTGAAAAGTTATCTATTTCTAATTTCATTAGTTATTTCTAGATTGTTTTCCAGGAGAGCAAGTCCTGTTTACACCAACAATATATGAGAGTATATGCTTCACCCAACAGCCCTACTAGTAACAAGAGAAGTCTTTGCCAATCTCATGGTTAAGGAGAATGATTTGAAGTCCTTTCTATCAGTAGGGTCTACTGAAGATCTGCTGCCTTGCAGACTATGGTCCTTAAGAGATCCCATAATACTCTAAAATACTCAAAAATTTCACATAAAATTCTAACTTCTCTTGAAAGATTAGTAACACATTTAATACAGGGCCCACATTCCTGCATGGCAACAGTTTATTAGGGCTGAGTAGGAGCTGCCCGAGATAGACAGGGCATGTGCTTACAGCTTGTCATATTCCTCACCACTCCTTATTGCCTCTCTATGAACTCAGTGATAACTGCTATCTGTCATGACATTTGCCCCTTTTATTTTTACAAGTCCATTTCATTCATTTTATGCCTACCCATACCCTCTAGGTATTGAGTTTGTGACTCTTGCTTAAAAATAAAACAAAACAAGATGGTAAGTCCTTCAAGGAGGAGTGGAGAGAATCACTAAAGAGGGAAGATGGGTGAGGAAAGAGCTTCAGGCAATCCCCCTATTTTTAGCATGAATTCCACCTCCCTTTGAGAAATTCCTCACTTTATCTCACTTCTGCCACTACATACTAGAGAACTGTCTGTGTAAATAAAACCTAAACTCATCTAAGGAGTGACCTGATTAGAGAGCTCAAGGAAAGAAATCTGAGTACAGTTGTTCTGAATTATATTGTTCATCAAAATCACTTTGGGGAGATAATGTAAAATGCAGGTTCCTGGGCCTTAACCCCAGAGATTTTTATTCAGTTGGTTAGTAACTAGGGCTTTGTATTTTAAACACATTCCCCAAGTGCTTCTGCTGCAGGGGATCTTGAGAACTACATATCGAGGTGGTAGCATTTATCCACGTAGTGTCATCGTGACTGAAAGCTCATGGCCTGGCAACTACTGAAAACCCAGATCTAATTAGTTCCTAGCTACCACGAACAGTCTTTCCAGCTACGGACAGCTTTGTGGGCAGGGTTCTGGACCCCCAGTGCTGGTTGGAATTTTTAAGATACTTACAGATCTGGGATTGCAGATGTATAAGGAGGCATCACACACAATGCCATACCCCACCAACCGTTCTCCAGGGAAGAGGCAGCTGGTGCTGACAGGTGAGATCAGGACCTCGGTGGTCTCAGGGAAGACCCACTCCACAGACACGTCACTCAAGACTGGGGCCATGGCCTTCTTCAGGGATTTAACCATCTGTTGGGCAGGGCCAAAACACAGGTTGAGGGGATGTGTGAGCAAGGGTATGTACGGATGAGGAGCACAAAGACCATGTGGGTATGAGCGTGAGGTGGGGTGAGCAGGGAAGAAGGGATAATAGGCCTTGGGGTGGCTTGCCCCGCAGTGAACATGCCTCTGAGCTTCCTAGAACTCCTAGAATGCCAGAGGTGGGGCAGATCTTTGCTGTCATCCTCTCTAAGCTTAACATTTTGTAAATGAGAAAAACCAAGATTCAAAGTAGGGCTAAGCTCTGGTACACAGGAAGTTTCTGTCAAAACATGGACTGGATAGTGATCTTGAGCAAGTTAATTTATCTTCTTGGATTTCAGTTTCCCTTCTGTTAAAGCAAGTTAGTAATTCTCAACTCTCAGTGTAGCTGGGGAGACTATCTGAGATATGGATTTGAAGTATCTGCTACATGGCAGGTGTTCAATAAATGACAGCTGTGGCTTAGCGTCACCCAGGTTGACTTCTTCAAATGTACTGAAAAGCTAGAGAAAAATGATTTGATTTGGGGATTGTGACAGCCATGCAAGATCACTCTAAAATCTCCCTTCAAGAAAGGCAGTGCCCTTTTGCTGCAAGGAATGCAATGAGGTGACAGTCTCCAAATGCAAGACCCAGCTTTTGAACCAAGACCTCACGACTCCCTGGAAGCCCCCAGACGACCACTGGACATGGCAGGGATAATGGTGCCTGGCATTTCACCCTGAAACAGAGCTCCCTGCTGGGTTGGCTGAGACCTTGCCAGGCCTGCATTGCAGTGTGAGGCCCTCCCTGCCCAACCCTGCTTCCCTCCTTTCCTTCCCCAGGTGTGACTGCATCACGGACTGAAGAATTGTCCTTCCTGTTCTCTCCTCTGTTTTCTCTCACAGACATTATCCCCCAGTGAACCTCTTGTGCTCTTAACACCAGCTCTGTTTTTGGTTCCTGGACGACCTGGACTGACACAGGGATTTTCTGAGTTGGCTTATTGATGCCAATTGTACAGGAAGTAGAGAAAAGACTATAATCTCCCAGATTTCTGGACCCTTTAGGTTCTTCCGAGCCACCATTTATCTATCGTCTGGAACATGGCAAGAAATGACCCCATATCCATAAAGATAGCGTCTCGTCCAGGAGCTTTAATCCTGCGCAGGAGGGGAAGGAGTATGTGATTCAGTGGCAGGAGAACAGGGGATCCAGTGTCCTGTATGTGCTCCGGGCATTGCCTGTCTTTGGCCTCCACCTCTGATTCTCACTGAGTGGCCTAGAGGAAAGCTTAGACTTGGCCTCGTGAAATCCCAGCTCCATCACTGAGTTTCTGTGTGACTGGTCTGAGCCTGGTGGTTCCAGCCCCAGAAGAGACTGAGGCCCTGCTCCCTACCTTGGGTTGCAGTCGTTCCCCCTCCACCAGGAACTCAGCACTGCCCTTGGACACAGTTGCCAGCCCTTTCACCAGCCTGTGGCAGACGTTGGATCCAATTCCAAAGCTATAGCACCTGGGGAAAGGGGAGGAGAGAGGCCGCTACTTCCCATTCTCTCTGCCATCTTTGTCTCCTGATGCGGCAAGAGAGAGCGTGAGCCAGCCGAGCTATCTCAGAGGGTGAGGGAGAAGAAGGAGGGCCGTCGGACACTCATATTCACACATAGACAGCCCATAAACTACCGCCCCAGCACAGACTCAAAGCAGCAGGAAGGACTTCCGCCTAGTCTGCTCCACGGGAGCTGTGTGAGTGTGGTAATCTGTAGGTATCCCTCCTGAACGCTTGAGGGCAAAAGGCAGACTTTGCAGTCAGCCACACCGAACTGGAAGCAAAGCACCGTAGGAACTGTGGGTCCTCTCCTGGCATTTTCCATGTTGCTCCGGTTCTGGCACCCCCAGCCCAGGGCAGCCCAGCATAACCAAGCCCTAGACATCCGCCTGTGCCCACCTGGTGGAGAAGGCATGGTTTCGCACCAGTTCTAGCACCTTCCCAGTGTTGTTAACGGCACCATCTGTGATCAGGAAGAGAAGCCGCGGGTGGCCTCGGTGCACAGGCTGCCGGATGATCCACTTGAGAGGAGAGAGGACGTTGGTGCCACCCATGTCAGCCCGCATCCTCTGGATGTTGTCACAGGCAGTGGCCAAGTTTTCCTGCAGGAAAGGCCATGGGCAGGGGAGATTGTCCCCAGGATCACCGTATGGCACCCCTGGAGGATGCGTCCTTCGTTTGCCTAGATCTTAGCTTGATCTCACTGGAGTTGATTCATGTTCCCAATTGCATCTCTGCCCTACATGCAGGAAGAGTAGATGACCACTTATTTGGTGTGACTCTGCCCAATAACACCCTCTACTAGTGCCCAAAATGTCACTGTGGTGTATTCACTTATTATTGTCCTTTGTTACTCCCTCTTAAAAATATCAACACCCCTAGAAAAGGTAGCATATTGGGTCCTAATTGCTCAGCACAAATGAGTTTCCTTTTCCCATGAGCAAGGCAGGAAATGTGGTGGATAGAACATCAGACTAGAAATCTTAAGACTTGAGTCCTGGCCTGACTGTGGCCCTAAATCCCTACCATACTTTGAGGAAATCACTGCCCCAATCTGGGCTTCAGATTCCCTCCCTTCTGGACCAACACTGTGAGACCCAACTGGCCAAGGATTACGGGCCCTGGATGGATATCACTGCAGGAAGGACAGATTCTTAACAGACATCAAGTGCCCTACTTCTGACTCAACAAGATGCTCTTCCAACACCCACGCTTGGAGTAATAGATACATCAACAGTCTTAAAACGTATATGTACCTTTTGAAACAGCAAGACTAGGAATTTATCCCAAGGGAATCATTAAAGAAGTATGGGAAGTCTTTGCTACAAAGCTGACTAAATGGAAAAGAATGGAAACAACTTAAATACTCAACTGTAAGTGTTCAGTTAAAAACCCATCACAATCTGTGTAGTGAAATACTAGGCAGCCATTAAAATTATGTTGCAGGTTAATACTTATGGCATGGAGATATGCTCAGAATAGTTTTGTGTTAGGAAAGTAGGATACAGAACAGAATGGAAGGTCTAATCCTATTTTTATTGAAAATGTCTGTAAATTCATAGAACAAGGTCTGGAGGGAGTTACACAAAACAAGCTCTGAACAATGGTTTTTCTTCTTTTTTTCTGACTGATATGATTATGGGAGATTAAAAAATTTTTATTTTTGATCATTCAGACTTAAAAATTATAATGCAATCATGTTATTTTTGTATTTTAAAACCCATGTTATTTTTAGTTGAAAAGTGTCCCTATGTCCTTCCTCCCTTCTTCCCAGCCTTCCCTCTCTCCTTTGCTCTTTTCTTCCTGTCCCTAGACATGGGTAGGACGCTCCAATTTTGAACATGCTGCTGAGGCCGCAGTCCCCTTTGTTCCCAACCGCAGCTTGAGGCTTGTGAGTCCCACTGTTATCCCGCCCCCACGTCCACTTACTCACCTATTCACCCCCGCCCATTCACTCCTTTAGCTCAACCTTGCATGAATATGTCATTCTCATGAGACAGAAGCTTCAGTGGATTGGGGGACTGGGATAGAGCCTCCCTCTACCCTTCTCTGTACCCCCTCTTCTGTGCACACCCATAGTTTTCCCAACATAGTCTTTATTTTTAAAAAAAGAAGGGCTATCAGAAGATGTCAGAAAACTGCCCACCAGAGACAGCCTCTCTTTAGTCCTCTGTTCCTGGGTCTCATCTGGGTTCCATATGAGTGGCCCGCTTCCAAGGCAGGCTTCAAGGTGCCCGCTCACTCTTTTCCTTCCTTCCCTCTGCTCCTCACCAGCCACCCTCTCCTGGTCCCTGCCTGACCTCCTCCTTACCTCACTGTAGGTCTGACTGGAAGGGAAGAGGGTCTTAAATGTGGATCCAAACCCGATGACATTGAAGAGGCAGGCTGGCATGAGGCTCTTAAGGGCTACCAGCATGGCATCCTGGCAGGCAGGAAAGGGATTTTCAGGATTTGGGAAGAAGTTTTTACCTCCACCACCATACACCTGTATTCTCATCCCAACACAGAGGCAGCCTCCAAGCAGGACTTTCACTCCTCCATCTGCACCCTACAGATCAAGAAACTGGCTGACACTGACCAGAGGCTGGACCAAAGCCATCATCATAAAACTTCTCGTCCAATTAGCAAGTCCAACTCCTCAAAGCCATTCTATTATAGCTTGCCGGTTCCATTTCACCTCCTTATGACCTTGGGAGGCAGGGAGAACAGGGAGCACCTCCTCTCTTCTGCCAAAACAAAATGGACATCCAAGGGAGGCATGTGGCTGGGTCTAGGTCACGCTGGTGATGGAACACGCTTCTGGCTCTCCTCCGGGGCTTTTTATATCAGATTCACCCTAACCATTATTTACAAATCTCTTAGGGGCAGTTTCTAGCTTGTATCTGTTCAATGACCAATATGTACTTTAGATGCATACCTCAAATAATCTTCGCAATAACCCTTGAGGCAGCCACAATATCACCCCCATTTTATACACAAGAAAATCGAGGCACAGAGAGGTAGATGGACTTGTTGTTGAGCACTAAGATAGTAAGCAGTGGAGCCGGGATGCAGGCTTGTGTCACTTTGCCTCCAGCGTCTGGGAACATTAAAGAGTCTTAACCTATTTAACTATGCAATACCAGGAGAATTTGACAAAAGTATAGTGAAAACAAATAATGACGAAGAGGGAAGATGGAGGAGATGACAGGAGGGAAATCATGACTTGATGATGATGATACAATACCATGATAAATATAAAATGAAACATGAAAAAACACTGTTCTAAGCACTTTATATTATCTAATTTAATCTACATAATATGTGTTACAGGATTGTGATTAAGAAGATAACATTGAAGTTAAACATATCTGGGTTTAAATTTCACCTTTATCATTACTCACCTGACCTTGGGCTAATTAAGTCACTCCTCTGAGCCTCAGCCTGGCACAGAGTAAACATTCAGTACATGGCTATTATTACCAACCCAGTGAGATACCTGTTCATCCCAATACTTCTATTGTGTAGATAAGGAAACTGAAGCTCAGAGCGTTAAGGAATGGCACTGGATCACAACACCTAAGCATGGGACTGAGGCTTTCAAAACATAAGTCTAAGATCTTTCTCCATGTTGGCTCTGCCTTGGCACAGAGCTTGGGAATGAAGGACTCACCTACATCCCAATAGTTTATTGACGACACCCCACTGAGTTTACTTAGCCTAGCCTCAGGGAAACAAGCTGTTGTATTCCAGAATTCAGAAGGAAACAGCTGCAAGTGGATCCAAGCGACTTCTACACCACATGGCTGTGCAGGCTCCACAGACCTGCAGCACCTCTCACACCCACCTCTGTAAACATTAACATTAACATCCACTCCATTTCTCTTTGTTGTTTGTGTCAGTACGTTTTGTTTCTTTACAAAAGAAGTCAATATCTGCTTGTTTTTTTCATTAGCCACTAATGTATATTTCTGCTAGCAGGAGACTCTATTGATCCGTACAGATTGTCTCTGTTCACGCCTATTAGAATGTTTAAAGCCATGTTTTTGGCAGCAGGTGGAAGCTGAAGAATGAGACCAGCTGCAGGAAATTAAACTAGCTGAACTGTCCCCTTTGGCGGGGCTATTTGGATTTAGTCTCTCCTACCTCCCTAAGCCTAGTTTTTCCTAAAACTTCAACCTAATGGGCTACAATTAATGACCCAAGCAACTCATCAAGGATCTCATTGTGAGTGGGGAATGGGGGTGTATGGCCTGAATAATTTTTGTGCCTTTCTCTAAAAGGGGCATGCGTAACAGAAAGGATTGCATTAATGCAAAACCATTTGCGAAGGGATGACCTTGAGCTCTAAGAGCAGAACTGGAAAATTGAGCAAGAGACACTCCAAGGGGAAAGGGAGGGAGAGGAGAGCCAGAGGAAGTTGTCAGAGAATTCTGGAATGTAAAGGTTGGAAAGATCTTTACAGGAAATGGTTTCCACTCATAAACCAGCTCCATTTAACTGATAGTAACTGCCTGGAACCCTGAGATGAGAAGGATACAGAGAATGAGTCAAGGCTCTGCATGAAAAATAAGTGTCATGGCTAATTACTGATATCTGTCTGGGCTTGGGAGAGAGGAACAGAGGATGTGTGACATGTATTTTCCCTCCCTGAATCAATCCTTTGTCACTTTACAGGAAGGATAAATGAGGCCCAAAGTTGAGAATCAATTTGTCCAAAGCCACATAGCAAGTCAGTGGCAGAACCGATCCTGGAGCCCAGGCATTGCTCTTTCCAATAAGCATACAGCAGAAATGACATGATTAGAGAAGAGAGCTTTTCTTAGTGGAAAAGTCTTATAATTACCTATCAACAGTGTAAGGAAAATGGGCACCGAACCAAGATATGCAAGGCTTATTAGGCTCCCTCACTAGCCTCATGATGTTGGGAAAAACACTTAATCTCCTGGGGACTCAGTTTCCTTACATGGAAAGTGGCAGGGAAAATAAATGCTCTTCAAGAGATGTTTTAGGTTTATTATCCCTTGATACTTTAGAGTAACTGGAGAGACGTCTTACAAGTTGATGTAGTTATGGAATGGAGCACACATGGTTGGTCACACAAGGCCTGGAGAATGCTTCAGCACTGCAGCACTATGGACAGCTCCCAGTTCCGATTCCTGCCTTTGAGGGTGGGCGAGAGTGGGGAGGCAGTCCTGCACCCCAGTGTCAGGAGGCCTCAAGCAGGAGCCTGGGTCTCATGTATGTCTGCTCTGTCACACTTCAAGGACAAAACCCAGCCAGAGCAAGCCCAAGGAGAGAGCTGGCAGCACAGATCTCACCTAACCCCAAACCTTCCTTGCTGATTCCGTTGCCTTGGAAGCAAGAATTTGTTTGCACCAGGGATAAACTAGGAGAAAGGTTGAAATTTCAGGTGACAGCAGAGTCTGCTCCCTTGTTGTTTACTCATCCCTTATTTTCTTGAACTATATGATCCTTTACCCAGTTCAATAAACATCAACTGAGGGTTTTTTTTTAACGCGTAGGCACAGAGATAGGCCCCATGGGGAGGGATAAATGAAAACAATCTGGTCCTTTCCCTTAATGAATTCATAACTCCAGAGGAGATGGACATCTACACAATTGAAAATACAAAGGGGAGTTGGGTATGTCATAATTGATATGAATAATCTGAGGGAGATGAAATGCTTCTGATATGAGGGGATAATACAAAAGAGGGTATCACTGTTTTGTAGTCCTTTAGAACTCTCCATTGCAGCAAGATCATGCTCCCAGGCAAGAGTGATTATCAGGACTGTCCCCCTCACTTGACTGTGAACTCCTTGAGGGCAGGAACTATGTTTACAACCTGCTGTCTTCCCAGATGGCCAAGCATAGTGCTTTGCACATATTAGAATTTGGGGGGAAAAAGGATAAACCAAATATTTTCTACCGGATCATACACATTCCTAGATATCAGGGGCCATGGTTGGTGTCAGATGATAGGGTCAGTCAGACAGACAAGGGTTCAGTCTTAGACCACTCTAGCTGTGTGACCTTGGGTAGATCATGGAAACTCTCAGTATAGGTTTTTCCATTTGGAAAATGGTAACAATAGGACCAGCCTCAGAGGATTAGTGTCTGGATTGAACACCAAGCTGTGCATTAAGTGGACACAGTAACTGACACGTTGTAGGCCCCTAGCAAATGTTAGTTTCCTTCCTCTCAAGGAGGGCTGCTTGGAACAGAAAGTCCTGAGGAAGTGGGTTTGGGGGAGCACAGCTGATTTATCCTGGAGCCCCAGCCCCCAGGGGGAGGGGGTCCTCTTACAGGTACCTTGACGCGGTGGATGTTGGTCCCACTCATGCTGCCACTCCTGTCAATGAGGAAGATAAATTCCCCTTGGCTCTTTCTCAGGTTCGGCTGGACTGACTGGAGGTCGGGACAGAAGTTGAGCATGATGACAGAATGGTGGGGGACATCCTTGTGGAGGCGTCTCCGGATGATTTCTGTCTAGAGGAGGAAGGAAAACTCTCTCACCTGGGCATTCAAGGAGTCCAGAGCTGTCCTGGGGGCTCGCACTGATCCCCTATTGCTCACCAAGTTTTGTCAAGATCCCACTCATACTCTGGGTGAAAGGCTGCCAGGCAGACTCTACTTCTCACAGGTTGACTGTGACTGTGGATTTTCATGGGTTGCAACAGCAAGTATGGACTCAGAAGGCAGGAAGATCTGGGTTTGAATCCACTGTTTGGCAGCTGTGTGATCTTGGGCAAATCCCTCCTCTGGGTCTGTTTCTTCATTTGTAAAATGGGGCAAACACTGTTTCCCTTCTCCAGGTGGTTTTGAGGCTAATCTGAGCTGGCACACAAACGGGAAGCCACCAGCACACATTCAGGTCTCGGCGGAGTGGCGGTTTCTTTCACGTTCACGCCCAGCACCAAGACCGTTCGGGCTCATCTTGGCTATGAACTGGTTTCCCTGGTTTGCTGATTCTTTCCCACTGATAACTTCCTATTCCCTCTTCAAATTTTACTTCTTAAGAAAACTTGCTGCAATCTTACAGGTGGACTTAATTAGTATTAAGTTTCCTCATCCAGGAAATGGGCGCAAGAGTACACGCCTCGCTGAGTGGTATGGATCAAATGCAACGCTTGTGAAGCCCACTTGTTCCTAAAAAGTGGCCTTTATGCCTGCTGCTCTCAGGCGTTGTTGGGGGCCCAGGAACTTCTCTCCCTGCAACTTTTTGCTTGTATCTCTGCCTCCCCTCTAGCACCTGTGCTACTTGAATGCCTATGTCTCTTTAACATCTCCAGGGCTTAACATAGAGCCTCATACAGAGATAGACTGAGTAAACATTCAGGAAAGGGCTTTATCTTTTCAGTTCTTGCTCTTTTTATACATTCCCTTAGCTGGTACACTGCTCCTGAGCCCTCCTGCTTGACTCTCCCATTCACTCCGCACCACATCTCATTTCCTCCGTCCTCTTCTGTCCCCACACCGACTTTCTTGGTCTTTGTCTGACTGTCCCTGCATGTGCCTGTCTTTTTGTGTCTGTTTCTCAGTTTTCGTCTATTTGAATCCCTTCCCCAACTCTACGGCATCATCACACACCCAGGTGCTCAAATCAAAGACCCAGGAGTGGTCCCTGGTTCCTCTGTCTCTCTCACCCCACACATCTACTCCTTTAGCAAGGGATTGGCAGGCCTGCTGCTCAAAGACATTCTAAACTTGTCCTTTCCTCTCTGTCCCCACTGCCACCACCCAAGTTCAGGGCAGTATCATCTCTTATTCGGACCCTTATTGGCAATAGGCTCCTACTGGCCCTTCTTCCTCCTCCATCTCCTGGTGGTCCGTCCTACATAGAGCAGGAACGTGATCATTCTCATCATTCTCTTACTTGAGCAATAGCTTCTTCCCCTTACACCTCGTACAGGGTTTATGAAACCTCCAATGCCCTGACCCTTGTCCACCTCTTTTGCCCACTCTGCTCCTTGTATTAAGCCACCTTTCTGTTTTCCAAACATGCCACCATTATCCTGTTTCCAGTGCTTTGCACATTCTCCCATTTCTTCATCATCCACCAGGTCTCATTCTCAGATGGGCTTTCTCTACACTCCTGGCTAAACAGTACCCAGTGCTTATCATTCATTATCATGACATCCTGTTTTATTTCTTCAGTGGTCCCCAGCCCTCTCCAAACTCATATTGCTCACTTGTTTACTTCTTGTCTGTGCTAGAATATAAGCTCCATGAGGCCAAGGATGTGCCATTTTCAGTATTGTCGCCCTAGTACCTAGAACAAAGCCTGACATCTATTGGGCACTTAGTGTTTGTTGAATGAATAAAGGAGACTGAATCTGTGTGGGTCTTTGTCAGCCACCGACCTCTGTGTGCATCTTTTTCTTTTCATTTTTTCAGTTTCTCTGTCTCTATTTGTCTCTGCTTCTCTCTGCATCTGTCTCTTGTATATGGTGTCCTCCTCTGTGTCATTTGCCTCCTTTTGCTAAATCACGTTTTTTCACACATTGTCCCACTCAATCTCCCTGATCGACATTTGCTGTCTGGATGCGCACCTTCCTCTCTGGCAACAAATTGCGCCCTCTTTCCTTCATGGAGCTCCTTTGCCAAAAACCACTGCCTAGTCTGACTCTCTTAATGACAGAGCCCACAGCAGCACAGATACATCTGCCAGTGACATGGAACCACCTCTGAGAACGTGATTTTTGCCTCTCAGAAGGGTGGTGTTGGGCCCTGGCTCAGGATTCCCTGAGGTCTTCTTGAGTGGCCATTATCCATTACAGCAAACTCACCACTTCATAGCAGCTTCCCCATCGCTGTCAGCCCCGGAGCTCATGAGAATACAGGGTATTTGCCTAACCAACACAAGGTGGCAAATTCTCATTTGCTTCAGGTCCCAGAGCTACTTGATTTAAGCTTGGCATTGCCCTCCCCCACCCATGCTGTAGTTCTCAGAGCTCAGTGGCACCCTGGCACTGCCACCCCCACTCTGAGAACCTGGCTCCAGCCTCTTCTTCCACCTGACTCATCTGGGTGAGGGAGCCCCTCTGGGAGGGCAGGGGTTTCCAGTGGGCCTTTAACATGCAGATGAGGTGAGCAAGAAGCTGTCCACCTGCTCTTGTTCACTCCCCTCTATATTGTCCCCTGCCAGTCAGACTGGCAGGAGTGGGGCTTTTAAACCCAGCATAGCTCTCCCACACGATCAAGTCTAAGTTTATGGCCTCACTGTCACCAAAGCCAGCTCCCAAGAGAATGGTCCTCCCCTTCCCCCAGCCTACCAGCTGTTTTTGGGGTGCCAAACCTCAGTTTTCTCAGTCGAAGAGGAGAGAGAATAAAAAGTGTGTCCTCATTCTTAAAACTACCTTGGCATTCAGGACGGGGCTCGGTGTGCAGGCCGTGAGCTGGAGAGAGACTGCTGGTGTAACCTGCGGCTGTTGGCTCAGCCTCCCACCTGTCACTTCCCCACTCCGGCCTCTCTGCTGAGGCCTCCTTACCCTTTAGCTTCATGGGGGAGGGGCGGGCAGAGGGAAGGCTCTTTCCCAGGCGTTCCCCGCATTGCCTTTGTTCTTCATGTAACAGCAAGCAAGGATCTCCGAGGCAGAAGAGCAAGAGACCCATTAGGCCGGTGGGGAAACGGAAGCCTGGGAGTAAAGACGCTGCTGGGAGGGCACCGACTGTAGGTCCTGGGGGTCCCTCGGGGCTGGAATGGTCTGGGGAAGACCAAGGGGTCTTCTGCCACCAGCCGAGAATTCTGCTTGGCTTAGGCATCTTGGTGGCAGTAGGGGAAGGGGGGCCTGGCTGAAGGCAGGAGGACAGAATCAGGGAGACAGCTGCTCCGGGCCTCCCTTCTCCCTCTGCCCGCGGTCCCCGGAGTGAGGCACTGATGAGGTGTGCCCTGTGACCTGGGGCAAGCCATTGCTGCCCCTGCCCCGGCTCAGTCTCCTCACTGGCCGCGCAAACACCAAGTCACCATGCCACCCCAGTTCTGCCGCCACTGCTTTCGCTTCAGTCACCCTCACCTTTCGCCCTGCACTGCTGTCCTTCTTCGTCCCTTTAATGAAATCTGTTCTTCCCTTCAGGTGCTGGTCAAACTCTCCCAGAGTCATGTCCCCTTTCTCCATCAGGACGTGTGGCATGTGGGGCTCTGCAGAGATGAGATTGACTCTTGGCACTGGTCCGAGTGCTGGAATGATGCCAGGGGCTTTGCTGCAGGGGCGGGATCTTCGCAGCGGGGAGGCCTCCCAATTGGAAGAGGGGCGTGGAATCCCTGGCTGCCTGGAGCCGTGTGAGGCCATGGGAAGACTCCTTAGCCAGGAGCAGGAGAGCCTAGCTGCCATGGGTGACTTGCTAGCCCTTTCTGGGCCTCAGTTTGCAGGTCTGTAAAATGGGAGCGGGACTGGGCTCTCTGATCTTTTCAGGTCCTGACATTCTATGAGTTCTTAGAGACAAAAGACTTGCTCCCTGAGGTTCAGAGCTGCCAGGGTCTCATCTAGCTTAGGGTTCCGAAAATCCTATACTCAGCAGGCCAGGGGGCAAAACGCCCCCAGTGGGTAGATGAGACCCTGGGGCCTCTGGAGCTAGAATCGGGGTCAGGAAACCCTCGATTCTGCAGCTACAGCCAAATTTCCCAGGAGGCCAAAAGTCAGTCTCCTCTCCTCCCCCTACCCTCTCCCTGGCTGGTCACTGGACCTGTGTCTGTGCTGCACAGGATCAGCGCCCCCTCCATCCCATGGCATCCCCGGGGGCCCTGCCTGGCGCACAGTACCGCTGGGGTGGATGAGGATCTCCACAGGCCGGTCGAAGGTGTGCCTGTTGGCCAAGGTGATGATGATGCTCTTGGCTGAGCATGCGGACGGGGCAGCATCGGCTCTGATCTCGTGGGTGGGACTCTCCACCCCTGAGTAGCACAGAAAGAAGGGACACACTCAAGAGCCTGGGAGAGATAGGGGCTCAGTGGGGGACGCAGAGACCCAGGCCTGAGGTGACAGGCACACCAGCCCCATTGCGGGCTCCTGACACTGAGGTGGGCTTGGAACCTGACCTTGGGAGGGGCTCACATCACAGAGAAGGAAATGGGGGCCATAAAGCTCCCTGTGCTTCAGGTTGTTCCCCATCTGGGTGGGCTATCTTCCCTGCCCCGGGGCCTCGAATCCCTGGCAGCTTCCTCTTTGTCCCTGGCAGCTGCCTGCCTGAAGCCCTTCCCACCCCGGGGCCTTGAATCTTCTTTTTGGCTCCTAGCTCCACTCACCTGCAAGCAGGCATGGTCCACGGATCTCCAGCTGGAAGTTGAACTCATATTCCATGGGGTTGGACACTTCAGTGTCCAGGAGAGTTGCCAGGCACAACTTGTTCCAGCAATCCAGGGCCCGATTGCCAAAACAATGCCTGTCTTTACTGGGAAGGGGGCCAAGAGGAAGGAGAAGGCGGAGACAGGCAGCCAGGGCAGAGGCACAGGCCAGCATGAGAAGACATGGAGGGTCGGTGAGTGCCGGGCAGCCCAACACCCCTGCATCCCAGCCCCAAATGGGGCTGAGGAGCTCTCCCTGACCCCGGATCCTGACTCTCCCACTCATCCTGACCTGAGGGAGAGCTTGGATTCTGCCACAAGGCCCAGCCACCTCTGATGACCTGGCCGGGCACCAGCATGGTGCCCCACAGCGCTGGTTCACCTTGTCCTCACTGGACCCCAGAAGGTGGTATCAGGGCCCCACCTCTCCCATTTCCCATGAGGGGAAGCTGGGGCTCAGCCAGATGAGGCATGTAGCCCATGCCCCCTCAGTTAGGATGTGGTGAAGCATGCATCCTGCCCCAGGCCTGCCTGGCTCCATGGGGAGATAGCTTACACTCCATCTCACCACTTCTTGAATCCCTGCTGAAGCCTCAAGTTACTGGGCCTTCGTTCTGCGCCATCCCCCACTGTCTTTGATCCTGCCCTGTGGCCTTCCACTCCATGGCACACCCTCTGAGGTTTCTGATGTATGTCCTTAAATATGCATGTCTCCTTGTAAAATGCTGGTGGTTTTTGGTTGTGAATGTGTTTTCAATGGAAAAGATTGCATTGTATTATGAATCTTATTCAATCACTTCCTTCTTTCCACTCCAGTGCTATGTTTTTGAGGTCTGTCCAGGTGTCTGTCTGCAAACCAGCCTTTTCTGTTGACATGGTGTCACAGGGGGACATCTGGTATATTGTATTTACTTGTTTCTGCCTCTATCTCCCTGTGTCCACAGACGCCACCACCATGAAGCTTCTCATTTGTGCCTCCTTTTGGACTTACGAGAGAATTTCCCAGGGGTCCTTGGGTCAAAGGGCACACATCTGAAATAGCCAGATTTACATCTGGGATGGGTGTCTCAGTTTCCACGTCTGCCAGCAGCGAACAAGGATCTCTTTTTCTTCTCATCCTCACTACCACTTGGTGTTACCTATTTTTCTTACTTTTCCTAGTGTCATTCTATCTGAGCAACTGTGAAGTTCATGAAGATTAGATGCAGGCTTCTTCCCAGAGCATCATGTTAACTTTGCCTACTGGACTGGGCAGAATAAGCTTATCAGGGCCACCTCATGAGCATCAGAGCCTCCTGGGCCTCTTGTTCCCAAGGTCTTGAATGTCCTCTGCCTTTCAAATGCACAGGCTTGGCAGCACTTACAAAGACAATACCCAAACTGGTGTTCCCTGGTCTGAGACTGGCTTGTGCTGCCAGCTTCTCTGTTGTGTCAACAAGTGTCCTCACCCTAGGCTTCAAGGTCCTACACATTCTGACTCCCTACTACCTCTCCTTGGTGGTCTAGCCTTCCTGCTGCTCTTCAAACACACCAAGCCTGCTGCTGCCCCAGGGCCTTTGCACCTACTGTTCCTTCTACTCTCTGCCCAGAATTTCTTCCTCCAGAATATCTCCATGGTTTGATCTGTTCATTCATATCAGGCCTCAAATGCTGCCTAAGCCCTGTCTATTCTAGCAAAACAGCACCCACCTTTTCCTGCCCCCTCTATCCTCTGTAGCATTTATCATCACAGAACTCAGCCAGCGTATTACATGCTACAGGCTTGTATCTTTATTGTCTGTCTGCCCCTGTCAGAATTCCAGTCCCATGAGGGCAGGGACCTTGTCTGTCTAATTTGCAGCTGTATTCCCAACACCCAAAATAGTGCTGGCACACAGTAGGTGTTTAATTACTAGCCTATTGAAGGAGCAACTGAGGAAGCCCTCCAGGCTGACTGCATGTGGGAGGCTGCCATAGCCCCTCCCCCCAGCTTAGCACTCTAGCTGGTGGTGTCCGGGGGCCTGCAGACACTGTCCTCTGTGTCCCAGTGTGCACATGCTCCCAGCTGTCGCCAGAGCCTTGCCAGGGTGCGTGTGAAGCGCCTGGATGTATATGGTACATCTTCCCAGATTTCTACTTGGCTCAAAGACGTGGGGAAAGAGTTGGGTGAGGGGAGTTAATTACAAGCTTAACATCAAATATTATTTTTATGCCAAAATGGTGCTAAGATACTGTGGGTTGAGAGATTTTAAAAATTCACACATGAATGATAATATACAAGCTTTCCAAAAACATCACCTGAATGCAGTAGGCTACTTAAAAATGGAGTCCTGTGTCTCTGCAGAGGAACAGCTCTTTCACCTGGTCCTTAGCTGGGGAAATGGGAAGGGCCCTGACCTCAGCAGGAGGTGCCTCAGGCTACAGCCCACTTCCTTTGCCCTCTTACTCCATGGGGAGTACAGAGAAACTGTCTGGTCCTGGGCTTGTCGTGCTCCCCGCCCTGCCTTGCTGCAGACCCTTTCAATGGCCCCTGGCTGCTTTGGAGAGAAATCCACTGTCTGCCTGGGCCACAGGTTGTCTTAGCTCTCTGCAGCTTCATCTCATGCCACTGGTGCTTCTGGGGCCCTGTCCTTGCTACTTCAGGGCCTTTGCCCCTGCCGTTCTCACCTACAGGAACACGCCTCTCTGTGCCCACAACCCCCCCCCACTGCTGAGCTCACAGATGAAATATCACTGCCCAGAGAAGTCCCACCTGGACCCTGGCTCCCCAGACTGGGTCCCTGTTTTATACTCTCAGCCCAGTGAACTTGCCCTTCATAGCACTTTTCACATAATGAGTTATACAAGCACATAAATGATTACTTACACATTGGTTGTGTTATTGCTTGGATAATGGTCTCTCCCACCAACTTCCAGAAAGGAAGGAACCATGCTGGTTTGGCGCCTCTGTATCCCTAACATTCCGCTTGGAGTCTGGCACATAGGTACTCAGAAAATACCTCTTGAGTACATTAAAAATTAAATGATCCCAAGCTATCCAAATCCCAGAACTTCTGGCCAGTAACAACACAGGGTTTTCAGGGAAATTTTTAAGTGCTCTGAAAGTGAGCGGGTGGCGGGGGCGGGGGGGGTTGGGGGCGATTGTTCAGCCAGTGGCCCCTCACACCGCTGGCTCCACCCTACTGACTCCCTGATGCCTACCTGAGATCCTGACCCGCGTCTGGGCAGGGGATCCTTACCCTGGGGCCTGTAGGTTGGAGGGGCCGGTGTTCTCGGTGCAGAACTGGGGCACGGTCGGGGCGCAGACAGCAGGCAGCAGAACGCGCACAGCCCCGCTGGGCAGCGTCGGGAGCTCAGAGGAGGTGCTGATGAAGATGGTGACGTTCTCCATGGGAGCAATAGTCCCCAGGTTGACCACGAACAGGATCCGCTCCAAATCCTCATCCAGAGCCACCTTCCCCGGTGTGTAGGAATGAGGGGTGACGGAAATCCCGTCTTGCAGAAGGTTCCCTAAGTGCCAGGCCTGGAATCAGGGTCTGTGCATGTATTGTCTTTAGTCCCCTCCAAGCATGTTGTGTGGTAGTTCGGAGTAGCCCATTTTGCGGATGGGAAAACTGAGGCTCAGTAGGGGGTGTGACTTGCCCAAGTCACTCAACGAGTAACTCATTGAACGGAGTCCGCATGGATCTGACAACAGGCCATGTTCTTTCCACTGTACCCTGGTGGGAGTGGGAGACTGGGACCCACAAGACACCAATGGAGGCTACATCTCCATTTGTAGACCTATTTTCCCCTAAAAATCACACTCAAGCATCCCCACCTTTGGGATCTAGGCTTTGCTCACTTTCTCCTTTTATCTGAAAGTCTATTTCCTCATCCCTTTTCAGCCAGTCCTTCCTATCCCTCCAGTCCCTCCATGGAAACCTCTCTGGTGCCCAGTCTGGACCCCACTTCCCCTCCTCTGACATTACCCACACCTCTTTTGGCACAGCCACTCTCCACCTCCTAACATGGCCATTCCTAGGCATGTCCTGGCTATTCTTCCAGGCTGTGAGTAGTTGCAACAACTTGATGGCAACTTTTCATCTTACACATGGTAAATGCCCATTAAAAGATTCTTGAAAGTCTTAACGATCAGGTGAACAAACTTCACTTCAATCATAGATCCAATGGTAAGAATCTCTTACACCATATGAATTCAAGGTCTGGCTCTGCTCTTAACATGCTGTGTGGTGTTGGGCTGATCACTCACCCTCTCTGGGCCTCAGTAGCTTCAGTAGCAGGCATCAGTAGCCACAATTCAAGTACTTACTCTGTATCAGGGACTGTGATCAGTGCTCTGCACGCATGCTCTCTGTTGAGCTTTGGGTGTGTATAATTATTAGTTCCATTTTACAGATGAAGTTTGCTTTCATACCTAAGCTCATACCATTTGTAGGCAACAGGATGGGGAGTCAAACCTTGGTGTGACTCATTCCACAGTCTCTGAGCTTGAATGGCATGCTATTCTGTTCTGCTGAGATATCTTAAACAACCCTTTGTTATCTTCTTTGATCCTCACCATGGTTTTTAGATTAGAACAGCATAATTACCTCTGTTTGATATATAGTAAGGCCAGATTCAGAGAGGTTAATTATTGGCCTGAGTCACACTGTACCTGACTCCTAGTTTAGTGTTCTCTCTACCTAATCCCATTACTGCCCTTTAAATCGACCTGCGACTCCCACCAGACCCAGGCCCTGCCACAGTCCTTCTGGTCTCCTTACCTGTGACAGTTGTGGCTCTGATATGGGTGGCATCCAAGTGGCCGCTGTCCATCTTGGCTTTGTCCTTGATCTGTACTGTCACGACGCGGTCGGCAACGACAGCCTCAAAGCCGATCACCGTGGTGTACTCATCCAGGGGGTATACGAAAAGGCCTGCAAGGGCAGGGCCCTGCGTCATGGGCTGCCCCAGCCCCGCCCACCCTCCCCCGCCCCTGGGAACGACCCCCGAGCCTTTGGCCCGCCACTAGGAGGATGCCCGAGGTGATCAGGCTGGGACCTCACGGCTCTGGGGCAGGGTGAAAGGGACAGCTGCTCCCTTGTCCCAGCTGACTCTTAGCCCGTAGGCGGCCTGACTTCTCAAGAGGCAGGGCAAGGCTAGATTTCTGTGTGACCTGCTGTGTGTGCCCCTGTGCTGCCCAGGGCTGAGGCTTTGGAAGATGTAGAGTAGGGTTCTGATCCAGGCCCTGCACCTTTCCTAGCCTGGCGACCTTGGATGAGACGTTTAGCTTCTGTAGCCTCAAAGTCCAATTTGTAAAATGGGAATAAAAGAACAAACTCATGGTCATGAAAATTGAAAAAAGAATCCCACTGTGTATGTGCCCCACATTTTATATATCTTAGTGCTTCTGAATCTTTAAGAGCACACACATCACCTGGGGGGCTTCTTCAGATGCAGATTCTGGTTCACTAGTTCTGGGCAGGGCCTGAGATGCTGCATTTCTAACCAGCTCCTGAGTGATGGCGATGGCTCGGGAACTGCACTTGGAGATCACGGTTGTATCTCATTTAATCTGCCGACTAACATGGGGACAGCGCAATGCCAGGCCCAGGGGGAGCCCTCCAGAAACCTCACTTCCCAGTTTCCTCATCTACAAGATAGGGGCTGGGGGCCGGTGCCTGGTTCTTTCTGCATGTGGAGAGTCAAAAGACTGTCCCCAAAGTAGGTCATTAACTTACTCTCCTGGGTCCCCAGTGGGTCCCATTTTAAGCCCCCTTCTCTAGGTTTCCCCAAACAGGAACAGTCTCATTTGCTCTTCCCAGGAGGGTTGTGAGGGGATTGAAGAGTCCCTACAGGTGCCTTTTAGGAACTGAAATGGTGTCAGAACCTCAGGCTGGGCTGGAGGGCGGTGCCCCAAGACAGGAAGCTTGGGGTTCAGGAGACCCCCACCACCCTGGATGGGAAGGAATCCTAACCGTGACACACTTACACAGCTCCCTCCCACCAGCCTTCCTGCGACTCCCTCCCTTGAGCAGAAAGAGAAGAGCAAGGGCTACAAAGGGTTCCTGCAGGCGAACCCCTGCCCACAGCCCTGAGGGCCCCGTGCCGATGATTCATATGTGCAGACTGTTTCTCATTCCACACTGTCCTTCCTGATTACCTCACCTGCTCCTCCCACAACCCTGGTGCTCAGACAGGGCAAGGAGCATCCCAGTTTTGAGAAGGACAGTGGCTTCCCCGAGGTCACAGGGACAAGAGCCACACCCAGGACTGGGAGCCCTGACTTCCTCTGAGTTTTGGTGCCTGTCCTCCTGCGAGGCTCCCTGGGGAAGGTGGACAACTGACCTTTTGACGCTAGTGGGCATGCCTTGTGGACATAAATAGCACCAGGACGGTTGGCTGGGGCTGAGCCCAAGCCTGGGCTCCCATCCTGATCTTGCCTGCTGCACGCTTTGAGGCCTGCAGGGCAGAAATGCTTTCCTATTTTATAGACGAGGAAGCTGGGACTCAGAGAGACCCAGACTTGCCCAGTGTCAGTTGGCTGGTACATGTCAGGACACAGATCCGTGTGCAGAGGGTAGCTCTGGGGAAGCCCCAGAGGAGGTCCTTACCCTGGAAGGGCTGGGCTTCCAGGTTGCCATAGGTGAGGGAGGCGGTCAGACCCAGGGCGTACCCGCTGACGAAGGAGGTGACATCAGATGCAGTGAGGGGCAGGGCTGCCCCTGTGACCTGGTTCAGCAGACCAGGCATCCTGCTGGCTACTCAGCCTTCAGGGCCTGCAAGAGACAGAAAGGGCAGGAAGTGGGGAGAGGCCCCCATCCCTCCAGCTTTCCCTCCGCAGACCACACAGGCAAGCAGAGCATCGTCTTCATTGTCCCAAAGCACTTCCAGCTAGTGCCCCATGCTGATTCTCCACCAGCCCTGAGAAGTGGTCATTCCATCTCTCTCCATTTCACAGTAGAGAAACTGAGGCCCGAGGCCCTGTGACCTGCCCGGATTCACTCAGCCTGTTGGAGCACCATGGGGGCGAGAATCCAAGCAGGCGCACATGGGACCTGGAATTCTCCTCAGGAGACGATGCTCCCTGACTGGCAAGGGGAAGCGCAGGACTCAGCTCTGACCCGTCCCTTCGTCAGCCCCATAATCCCCGAGCTGGAGATGCTCCCTCTGCAAAATAAGGGGATTGGACTGGCCCACCAGGTCCCTCCTCCCCTGATTTCAGCGACTCTGCCCACTACAGTCAACACTGTGGCTGTGACGGGGTGAGAAGTACCCCCCAAAGAAAACGAAGTGAAGGCAGCTTCCATCCGTCCAGGTGTGCAGGCCGAAAGCCGGGGGGTCACTTGCAAGGTTATCCAGTGCGTGCCTATCACTCTGCCTTTCCTCAAAGACGGGAACTCTTCCTCTCTAGGACCCCTCATGACCCCAGCTGGGATCCCCAGGCCGTCTGCCAGGCCTGAAGTATCTTTTTAATTATCTTCTCCCTCCTGGCTCCAGCCCAGACAGCTTATCTCTGGAAAGCTGACAGCAGGAGGCAGATAAGGAGACAGAAGGGGGCGGCTGTATCCCCAGATGTCTTCTCTCAGGAGTTCTTTGTCCTGGTGGTGAGAGCAAAGCCTGGCTACTCCCATGGGGCAGAACAAGATGGTGGAGCTCATTTCCTGAGCCTCTCTCCTGCCACCCACACTCCCTCCCTCTTCTTTCTCATCCTTGTCCACTCCTGGCCAGAACACTGACTGGGGAAAGCAGCTCCCGGGAACTAGCACCCGATGCGTGGCAAACTTGGACTTAAGCTTCAGTCCATCTTGGGGTAGAGTTTTGCCAAGGGCACCTTATCCAGTCCAGGCTCCCCACACTGCCTCTGGTGCCCTCCCCCGGGTTCCTGGGGAGGCCCTTTGCCCAGGGAGTGGGGTTTGAAGGAGCAGTGAGTGGGGTTTGGAAGGCAGGCTCCCTTGGAAGTGACCCTTTAACAATATCAGCCCTCTTGGAAAAAGCAAATTTGAAATCTTCTGGGGCCTAATTAATGCATGTTTTTCATCAGTTCTTCCAGCATTGATAAGCACCTACTGTATCCTTGTGGGAGATGAGTGCCAGGGAAAATAATGCTGAGCGTCCTTCCTCTAACCATCCCAGCCTGGGCCCTGAGTGGGCACCAGGCCATAGCAAACAGCCAGGAGGGACTCGACAGGGAAGATGTTGTCTCCGGGACAGGGCAAGGAGGCAGGGCTCAGCCTCGGGGGCAGCGCCTGGGCAGGTCTGAGGTGCTGCTATGGAGGCTTCTAATGGGTCGGGGCCAACATACTGCTCTCTTCACCTCCTTCCCTCATCTGCCAGATAGCCTGTCTCTGCTAGGTCCTTGACTTTTGGGTTGCTGAATATGGAAAATGGCCTGAAGGGCGACAGAAAACAGAAAAGGTGGGAAATGGGCTGAGAGACAGAGGTTACTAGAGATCTTAGTGCAGTCATGGGGAGAAATGGGGGGCTTGAAAGGATTTTTAAGGAGTGCCCTGAGTTACAAACTTGGTCTTAATTAATATTCTTTAAGAGGCACAAAAGCAAGCTTGGGATTTCGTGGGGTGCTGGACTATATTTCTTTTAATGAAATGTTGCAGTGACCCTGAGCCCTGAGAATCCTATACAGGTTACGGGAGGTTCCCAGTGTGACTATCAAATACCAAGACTGTTTCTTGATGGTCCAGAACTTGTAAGTCCCAGATTTGAATCCTGGTGGATGGCTGACTGCCTGCCTCACTCACCTTGAGCCAGTCACTTCTAATCCCTGAATGCTGGTTCCCTCTTCTAAAAAACTGGGTGAGTTGGATGGGGCACTAGCTCCCATCTCACCAGCACTGTGAAGGTTGACTTGAATAATACTAGGTAACCAGTACAGTGTCTGGCAAATAATAGGTGGTCAATAAACATTTGTAAAGTGAAATGAATGAATGTCAGCAGCCTCCCAAGGACACTAACTGTAATGATCACCTAGGTGCTGGGGAAATTGTGGGCAACAGGGCAGATGTGGATATAAACTAACAGAACATACAGATAATAAATAGAGCTGCAAGCCAACAACTTCGGCACTGAACCCCTTCTTGCTACCCCCGGTACTGCCATCCACATGGCCCCTACAATCTATTCCCAATGGAGAAGACAGAGTGATACTTTGAAGACATGGATGCAGTCATGTGACTGTACTGTACAAACCTCCTTCAGCCTCTCCACATCCCTCACAGCCCCCCTGATCTGAGCTCCTTGCCTGTGTCCTTTCTCATGTCTGCATTGATGTCATCAAGCCAGCCCTTTTTCTGTCTCAGAACTTTTGTGCTGGCTGTTCCCATTTCCAGGAATGCTGTTCCCTTAGGTAGCCACTTGGCTCGCTTCCTCAAACCTTCAAGTCTTTGTCCAAATGGCACTTTCTCATGAAGGCCTATTCTTACTACAGTCTTACCTTGGAGACAGTGTGAGTTTGGTCCCAGATCACCTTAATCAAATGTGTCAAATGAAGTTTTTTGGTTTCCCAGTGCATATAAATTATGTTTACACCATACCGTGTTCTCTTCAGCGTGCAATAGCCTTGTGTCTAAAAATACATACATTCCATTATTTAGAAATACTTTATTGCTAAAAAATGCTAACCATCATCTGAGCTTTCAGCGATTTGCAGTCCTTTTGCTGGAGGAGGGTCATGCCTCGATGTTGATGGCTGCTGACTGATCAGGGCGGTGGGTGCTGAAGGTTGGGGGCTGAGGCAATTTCCTAAAATAAGACAACAGTGAAGTTTGCTACGTTGATTGACTTCCTTTCATGAAAAATTTCCCGGGGGCATGCAATGCTTGTTGATAGCATTTTACCCACAGGAGAACATCTTTCAGAATTGGAGCCAATCCTTTCAAACCCTGCTGCTGCTTTATCAACTAAGTTATGTAATATTGTAAATCCTTTGTTGGCATTTCAGCCGTCTTCACAGCACCTTCACCAGGAGTAGACTCCATCTCAAGAGACTACTTTCTTTGCTCACCCGTAAGAAGCAACTCTTCATCCGTTCAAGTTTCATCATGAGATGCGGCAGTTCAGTCACAGCCTCAGGCTCCGCTTGTAATTCTGTTTCTCTTACTGTTTCCCCCACATCTGCAGTGACTTCCTCCACTGGAGTCTTGAACCCCTCAAAGCCCTCCATGAGGGTTGGAATTGACTTCTTCCAAACTCCTGTTAAAATTTATAGTTTGACCCCTTCCCATGAATCATGAATGTTCTTCATGGCATCTAAAATGGTGAATCCTTTCCAGAAGGGTTTTCAGTTTGCACAGATCCATCAGACTGATCACTGTCTATGGCAGTTACAGCCTTATGAAATGTATTTCTTAAATAGTAGGACTTGAAAGTTGAAATGACTCTCTGATGCATGGACTGCAGAACATTTGTGTGTTTCCAGGCTTGAAAACAGCATTAATCTCAGTGTCCATCTTCATTAGAGCTCTTGGGTGACCAGGTGCCCTGTCATTGAGCAATGATATTTTGAGAGGAATCTTTTTCTGAGCAGTAGGTCTCAATATTGGGCTTAAAATATTCAGTAAACCATGTTGTAAACAAATGTGTTGTCATCCATGCTTTATTGTTCTATTTATAGAGCACAGGTGGAGTAGATTTAGCATAATTCTGAAGGGCCCTAGGATTTCCAGAATGGTAAATGACCATTGGCTTCAAGTCACCAGCTGCATTAGCCCCCAACAAGAGAGTCAGCCTGTCCTTTGAAGCCAGGCATTGACTTCTCCTCTGTAGCTACGAAAGTCCTAGATGGCATCTTACTTCCAATAGAAAGCTGCTTTATCTACACTGGAAACCTGCTGTGTGGTGCAGCCACCTGCGTTAATGATCTCAGCTGGATCTTCTGGATAACCTGCGGCACCTTCTCCATCAGCACCTGCTGCTTCACCTTGCACTTCCCTGTTACGGACATGGGCTTCTTCCCTTAAACCTCATGAACCAACCAACCTCTGCTGGCTTCCAGCTTTTCTTCTGCAGCTTCCTCACCTTTTCTCAGTCTTCATAGAATTGAAGAGAGTTGAGCCCTTGCTCTGGAGTAGGCTTTGGCTTAAGGGGATGTTGAGGCTGGTTTGTTCTTCTATACAGACCACTAAAACTTTCTCCATTATCAGCAGTAAGGCTGTTTCTCTTATTGGGTGTTCACTGGAGTAGCACCTTTAATTTCCTTCAAGAACTTTTCCTTTGCATTCACAGCTTGGCTACATGGTTGGCACGGGAGGCCTAGCGTTTGGCCTGCCTTGGCTTGGGATGTGCCTTCCTCACTAACCTTAGTGATTTCTAGCTTTTGATTTAAAGTGAGAGATGTGTAGAGACGTGGCTCTTCCTTTCACTTGAACACTTTATGACCATTGCAAGGTTTTCAATTGGCCCAATTTCAATACGGCTGTGTCTCAGGGAATAGGGAGGCCCCAGGAAAGGGAGAGAGAGATGGGGGAACGGCCGGTCAGTAGGGCAGTCAGAACTCACACAAGTTTTATCAGTTAAGTTCAGAGTTTTATATGGGTGTGAACTGTGGACCTCAGCATAATTACAAAGATCACTGATCACAGATGACCATAACAAATAAAATAATAATAATGAAAAAGCTTGCAATAGCATTAAGAATTACCAATATATGATATAGAGACACAAAGTGAGCAGATGCTGCTGGGAAAATGACGCCGATACACTTGCTCTGTGTTGGGTTGTCACAAACCTTCAATTTGTAAAAACGCACTATCTGTAAGGCCCA